TGTATTAATGAGAAAATCAGTAAGAACCATGAGGAGGATTCAAACTTTTGCTCTGGGTATTCCCAAGCAAACACCTTTGACTACACCACGACATGGAGATAAAACATTGTAACCTGGTATTCAACCGAATCCTCTAGGATTCCTGAGGAAATCCTGTGTTTTACCATATTGTGGTATAGTGGTCTAAGGCATTGGTTGGGAGGACCCAGATCATAGGTTCCAATCCTCCTCACGGCTCCTATTGATTTTCTTAATATCATCATGATGACGATTATCATCATTTGGACACCTGGAAGCCTTGCATAATGGTTCACACTTGTGTACAAATGCCCACTCTGAAATTTATATTGTGAGAAACTTGTATACACCAACATTAGTTGCTTGGTCTTTCTCGGAGATGAGATACCACTAAACTGAGCTCGTGTCGCCCAATATTATTACAGTATTTAACACAATGTCTTCTACATAAGTGTGTGTTTAGAGGTCAAATGCAATGTTAATTTGGAAATATAGCAAATTATTATCATCTTTTTTTCTTATAATAAGTAGTTTGTCCTGAGCAAATAGTAATTTTTTATGTGGGGATATTTTTGGCATCAGTTTCCAAAGGATTCGAATTGGATAAGTTACATCGTACATAAAACAGTTTGCCAATGGAATTTAAAACCAACCCAACCGTGCCTAACACAGCCTAAACCTAAGCCAATGCTTCCTAACCTAACAATGCAGTATACGTTTCAACAAACTGAAAAAGAGCTTCGTCGAACTGCTTCATGTACGATTTGAGCCTACCCCTATGCACAAGAGGTGTTTGTGTTGATGGCTGCTAGAGGCTGGTAACGCAGCAATAGATCCGTTGATATCAACAAATGTTGATCATTTGTTCTCTGTGTATCCCACAAGACACACCTTCGCTTCCAATAGTGATAGTTTAATGGGTAAGGTATCAAATTTTTTAGTTTAAAATGCTCTCCGACAATATGCATTGTATTAATGGTCATTAAACCTCAGCTGTGTAAGCTGGAAAATATGTATGTACACATTCCACAAACACAAGACACGTCCACTCTATATAAACACATGCCCACCTTACATGCATGCCTCTAAACACACATACAACCTTCCCAAATACATGCCTAACACACATGCCACACTCGCACAGACAAGAACACATGGGGCCCTTCCCTACACTCGCATTTCCCCCTCCCTCTCCTAACGACATGGCCCCTACTTTCCCAACAAATGTACTCCCTCCCTTCCCTACAAACATCCCCCTTTCCTCCTCCTCCCCCCAACACACACAATCCCTCCCTGAACCCCCCCCCCCCCCTCTTCCCTCCCTTACACATATATTCCCTCCCCCTACATACATGCTTCCTCCATCTCCTACACACACACATTTTCCCTCCTACCCTTAAACATGCCCCCTAACCTATATATACCCCCACCCTCCCCTAATTACATGCCCCTACTTTGAGGAAGCGGTGTCACAAGCAGTGGTTGTCCTCTAGGCTGCCAAATTCAAATGCCATCCCATTCCCCCAGAGCAGCTAAATTATATATACTGTACTTTTCAATCAATCAATTTAGTTTTCTCTGATATGAAAAAGAAAGGAAGAGGTTCCCTTTATTCGAAAATCCCTAAATTTTTCTATTTTACCTTTCATTTAGACTAAGGGGTGAATATCTAGATGATTTTGGGGCTTAGCATCCCTGCGGCCTGGTCCTCAACCAGGTCTCCTTTTTGTTACACCCCCCCTCCTGGAAGCAGCCCATATTAGCAGCCTAACTCCCAGGTACCTATTTACTGCTAGGTGAACAGGAGCATCAGGGTGAAAAAACTTTGCCCATTTGTTTCCACCTCCACCAGGGATCAAACCCAGAACCTTAGAACTACGATTCCCATGTGCTATCCATTCAGCTGTCAGGCCCCCCAGGGCCAGGAGTCGTCAAGCATTTATGCAACCACTTTAGAATCCTGTACTGTACATCTTTCAATGATCATAACAGCTATGTTTACAGTTTGAGATAAGAACTATAAGGTTGTTTATAACAGTAATAATCTTGGGTTATGCAGTCTTGAAGCGTAATAAATGTAAAGAAAGTCGCCATGACTGAGAATAGGTGTACAGGTTTCGTAAATGCTCGACTCCTGGGCGTGGTGCAGTAGCTTTCACCTGCGTGAGTTGGTATCACATGCGTAGAAATGTAATTCTGGTCAAAGTATCAAAAGAAAATATACATGGCACTCCAATACTCAAGGCACTGAAGTATGTTACCACACCTCATGAGTAATAGTACTGTACCGAGTACTGGTACCTTTACCTGCATGGCTTCCAGAGAATGTCAACATTGCCACCACGTGAGTAATTATGACATGTATACCTTTAAGGTGACTCTTTGTGAGGTTAGAAAAAGTATTGTACTATGACCAATCACACACTCTTCAAGACTTGCATATGTACCCAACATTGTAAATATAAGTGACTATTTTTCTAATTTCACTTTCATTTGTATCCTAAAAGCTTTTTCTACCATGCATTCCATTTTAATGTCAATGAATAATCATGAAGCAATATAATTTACAAGGACATGGTTGCCAAAGTCGGATATGTATATAAAAAACAAGAGAATAACCCACTATACAGAGAATAAGCCACAAATGTTGCTGAAATATATAACCATTTGTAGTAATTATTAAAAGGCTACAAGCCAGAAGGCTATGTAGCACCATATAACCATTTGAAATGAAATTGACGACATTTTGGTTCCTTCAAATATGCATACAGATTTTTTATTGCAGATGGTTTACTAATAACTAATGGGAATTAACTAATCTGAATTCTTGCATTATGGTGAACTTGTGGGTGAACTTGTGAACTCATTGAGAACGCGCACAGTTATGACTGTCACCCAGAACCGTGGGAGACTTGCCCTAATGTTGTTCCAATCCTACAAAACTGCTAAAGATATACTTCCAGATCCATGAGACTGTCCCAACATAAGCTTCCAGGCCTGCAAGACAGCCCCCCCAACATATGTTTTCCATACATAAGATTTAACTAAACGAGGTCTATTGGCCCATACTAAGCAGCTATTTATATCCACCCAAACTCAATTCATATTTATGTCTAACCTGCATTTGACATGAATAAAATGGATATAAACAGTTTTAAAATAACAATTTAAAATAAAAATAAACTAGAATATATATTTAGAAAAGACCTGGTTAAGTAATGATTTGAAAACAGGGTTGTTGATTTAAAGAACAAATTACTGGCTAACTTAATAGGCATAATATCGATGGATTGTTTTACGTGCACAGAACACTGCTTCATTTTCAACTCGCAATCGGGGATTTCGGGTTCGATTCCTAGGTGGGATAGAAATGACAGGGGACTGCTTTGTATGTGCCAATGTTCTACGCAATGTTCTAGTTTGACTTTATATAATTAAAACATTTATAATCCCTTTGATGTACTCTCTCATCCATTTACATACTATAATCATGCCACCTCTTGCTCTGTCATTCTAGAGAATGTAAATTAAGCTTTTTTTTAATCTCTCTCTCTATACAGAAGATTTTTAATTCCTTGGATTAACTGTATCATCCTTCTATGTACAGTAGGCTTCCAAGTGAATATACTGTATATCTATTCTATGCAATGGAAACAATTTCATAATCTTAATGAGGCCTAACAAGGATAAGATAAAGTTTAATATTAAATGTTGGTTTGGTCAACTGCAGGAGTTGATAATTCCATCTCAGTACCTTACTGACCAACCAGCAAGAGTAACAAGAAAAGCTTGAGAAAAAAAAGGGTATGTATGAAATACATATAGCAGGGCAGGCAACCCCATCCCCCCCCCCCAAATGGTTCTGAATGTAATGAAACGAAAGTTACTGGGCGAGCCCTGTTGGCTCCTCGAAGCTATCACACTGTTTAAGTGCCATACTACTAGGTGTCATCAGTCACGGAGTTCTATTGGCCAACCGGGGACCACGAGCCAGAACCTGACTTCCTCAGAGAGGCAAAGGGAGCGATGGCCTGTGAACACTACATTTAAGGTTCATCATCTTTGCGACCATCCAAGGGAAGGCACCCACAAAGATAGGCAAATCAAAGCAGACTACTGCATGGTTAAAATGAGATTGCAACCCCAAAATTGGCAGAAGAACTTCCCCACAATGAAAAACAATTTTTTGAAACTAGCCCCCCCCCACACACACACACACACACTAATTTACCCACACCTCCCCGCTCGGAGGTTGGAGCCAGCCAGGTCAGCTGGGGCCCCCCCTCTGGACAGTTTTATACTGATGTCTGCACTTGGTGGTATGTATGTGGAGTACATGTCATTTGCATAGGTTAATTTTCAACAGACATTTTTTCTAAATTAATTCCTGTGAAGATACCAAGTTTCAGTAACACTATCTTTAAATGGATTGTCGACACTTGCACGAGGAAATTTTTACGTGGAAGTACCTGGATACCTGGAGTGGGTTATGAGTTTTACTCCCCCAAACCTGGCCTGGAGCCAGGCTCAACTTGTGATAACTTGGATAACACTGTTGCCTGGAGTGGCCTGCAGACTCTCATATCCAATACAACCCGGCTGGTCCGGAAATTCTTGCAGGAATATTAAACTTTTACTTGAAGTCCACTTCTGTTTTGGCAGTACTGTACTGTATTTCTTATGCTTCTTGGGAGGGTATTGAACCTTTAATGTTTATACAGTGTTCGTTGATTTTGCCTTTGGCACTTCTACTCCTCACTGGCTCTATATGGCATTTCCTACCATGTTCACTTCAACATGTCATTATTTTACTATGCAAATTTGGGACCTGGCTCTATTAGCATTTTTATATACTAAACTAGTTAAGATAAAATAATGCACGTTATTTTATGTAAGATAATATTGCCAAGAATGGAGAAAACAGTCAGTAGTGATTTACTGTCTGATGAACTATGAACAGTGTGGAATGAATTAAAGTCAACTTAAATCTGAAATTTTATTTAGATTTTACACTCTACTTGCAATGATTAACAGGTTTCTACTCATCTCCGACGAGAAAACCTTAATACAGATAGGTACTCTGGACCAGTCCTGCGAGATAAAACACAGGCACATGTAAATCCAAATTTGGCCATCACCTGCTCAATTTCAGCAGGATCATTTTCCTTTAGTACCACTAAGTAAAATACCCCTTCAGGTGATAACAGGGTATCTACACTTGGTAAAAGTCTATCTATAACCTCACGTCCACGCTCACCTCCTGCCCAGGTGTATTCCAAGTCTCCCTGACCAACCTCTTCTGATGGAGTGACAACATAGGGAGGATTGAATAGCAACACATCAACAGGCCATTTAGTGTTGTCTATTATGCCAGTCACTAAATCTGTACATACAGACTGAATACTCACACCATTTAATCTTCCAGTTTCTTTGGTAATATGACATGCACGGGGGTTGATATCTGTGCTCATATAACAGCACTGGGATCCTAAAGCAGTACCCAAAGCTGTTATCACAACACCTGATCCTGAACCAACTTCCAAACACAACAATGGTTTGTGTTTGTGGAGAAGATCTAAATCTTTTTCCAAGGCATCAATGAGCAAGAAACTATCTTCTGATGGCTCATATACATGTTCCAGATCTTCAGCAGTAATGTGGGAAAAAATTGGAGTCTTAATTGCATTATTTGAGTTCTCCATCCTTTACACAGTCGTAATGTTAAAGATGGGTAAAATTGAGGATAGTAAAATAACAGAAGCAGATTATAAAAAAATATAAATATTATGATTCGCAAATGACTAGATGCACAGCAGTATGCCTGAGTCAGGCATATTTACATTGACTTTATACAAGAACTTTATACTTTATACCTAATAGCAAAATAATAATGGAATGTTAGTCATGAATATTGGCACACTAGATTTACCACTTTATAAAACTTCCAGCTATATATCTTTGAACGAAAACCCTAAAGAGAGAGTGCTATATGAAGAAAATTTTATGAACTCTGTAAATCAGGTAGAGTACATGACAATCCAAGCTGCATATGTGCGCTAAACCAAATTTCACATGACAAATATTCAGAATGTCACTTGCAGCTCACCAATTTATAATATTTCGACATGTGACGCTCTTTGGAAATACGTACTGTAATCTTTGTAGAGGAACCAAGTATTAGTTAAGGAGCATGAAGAGAGGTTGATGGTGTATTTGATAATGGGGAAGTTGTTTCTAGTAGAGCTCTACGACGTGCATTTTCCTTATTTACCTGAGAGTGTAACTTGTTGAGACGGTCCTGCAATGAAAGAAAACATGTTTACTTACTTTTCCCTTTCTTTTTGTATGCTATATTTTTTGTCATTTGGAATATCTAAATCAACCCATCCTCCTAAAATAATATTGCTGTACAGTACTTACTTTATACATTTGACCAAATACTTACTGTAACTGTCTAAAGAAGGTACCAAGCAGGCCCCATGTAGCTTAATCATGGGCAAATTGATTAGAAATCAATGGATCCAAGAGAAGAAACAGAGAAAAACAGGTAGAAGTTGTAGAAAAACTTCCCAACACACCATGTAAGGGAATAAACACTGACCAGGGAAAGATCAACCTGCAAGATTGGATTTTGTTTTAACACTAAGTGAAATGGACATTGAGAACTGTTACGACCAGGGTGGTCTGTTGGTAGAGAAACACGGGGTTGAGAGTGTAAAGCAGAGTGCATAATTATCATCAGTTGAGCGACTTCTGGGTACTCACCTAGTTGTCCTTGTAGGGGTTGAGCTCTGGGGCCAGATTCACGAAAGCACTTACGAACGTTTACATCTTTCCTCAATCTTTGACGGCTTTGGTTACATTTATTAAACAGTTTACGAGCATGAAAACGTCCCATTTAACTGTTGTTATTGTTATAAACAGCCTCCTGGTGCTTCGGAGCTCAATTAGCTGTTTAATAATTGGAAACAAAGCCACCAAATATTGAGAAAAGATGTACAGGTTCATAAGTACTTGCGTAAGTGCTTTCGTGAATCTGGCCCCTGGCTCTCTGGTCCACTTCTCAATTGTCAATCAACTGGTATACAGATTCCTGAACCTACTGGGCTCTATCATATCCACATTTGAAACTGGACCACATCACTACCTAATGCATTCCATCTGCTAACTACTCTGACACTGATGCGAGATTCGACAGGTGATGTAAGAGGTGCGAATTCCCTACACACTGTAGGGAATGACAGTATGTCATACCGTAGGCCCGACATCATGGCACACAGAGGAACCGAGGCCAAGATCATTGACACCCAGGTTACCTACACTGACACTAACTACTGGTGTTACAGCGCTGCTGAGGGACACGATTATTTGTATGTGAACTACTGGCTATGTTTAAGACTTTGTACTTATTAATTAAATATTACATAGCCAGTAAGATTATTAATTTGTGTGGTATTTATGTTATAATTGGCAAAGTTGACCAGAAGGGTAGGATGTATGAAGTACTAGTTTTTTTGTGTAACACTGCCAGCAGGCAGGGAAAGTGTTCAATTGGAGTAGAGACAGGTTATGGGAAGGTGTAGCGCCTTGAGCTGCACTCTCAATGCCAGCAAGTCGGTAACCTTTTCTATTACTACATTACTCTCCTGGTAAGTCTGGTCCTTTATATGCATTTTAATGGATGCAGGCCCACTGACATTTATTTTTCCTGGGGAGGGAGGTGTTGCCTGGGATCAGACTGGTCAAATGAAATCCCTTATGGAATGAATCTTCCTGACCCATATACAGCAGTTCATTCATGTGATGATGCATTGTACTTACTATCACTATCCACTTACTTTGGTACAGTAACTTTATTTTGAGGGCTTGAGCTTCTCTAATTGCTACACTGTCAGCAAATTATTTCATTTTAGCCTCTAATCATTTTTCTGGTGCAAAGGATATTTCTAGCTCAGAAAAATAGGTTAGATGAGAAATGTAGAATAATAAGTTAGATGGGAAAGGTTGATTAAAGTTACTAAATTATACATTACAAATATTATTGGTTGATTAATGATACATTTCATAACAGTGCAACTCTCTAATTATCTAGACCAGCTGGTATGGATAGGAGTCTGTCAGGGGACACTAAAGAAAATATACATCACTATTTATGGCATGATAACTTAAGAAGGCTTAATTTATGTTAGATAAAAAATTTGTAAATTCTCCTCAGGCAACAAGGGATTTTCCTGGTTATTGGGGGCAGAATGGGGACCCCCCATTAACTATACAGTGCAACTACCTGGTAAACGAGGACAAGAGATCTTTCTAGTTCTAAGTAATCTGAAAATCAAGATAATGCAGGTACAGTACCACAGTACAATATATAGTATCATGGATACTCAACCACTCCAACATACCAGCAGTCATCCACAGCAGCTTTACAAGGCCAGGTGTACAGGGCTCCTCATAAGTTATTATGCATAAATACATTCACCCCTCTTCGCAAGCTGCTTCCACTCAAGCCTTGTCCCTTACCATATTCCATTACTTGTTCACTCACTCACTCACCATGTCAGCCCCCTTCCTCCCCGAGCTGCACCAAAAGTTTGTCTACATCGTAAGGTATTTTTTGAGGTCAAAATTTGACATCTTATCTGAAATTTGAATTATCTTATAACATATTACTGAACTTGCCTGCGTATTCTGGAGGATATTGTTCACTACAACTACTCTTCTCTTTGCATTCTGCAGCTTCTTAATATAAGCGTCCAGTTGCAAGGGACAACGAGTCTGCTCCTGCACCCGGGACAACTCTGCTGCCAGTCCTTCTAGCTGCTGGTGCAGCTCACTCTGACTCACTCTGAAGACCATAAAATTTAATACAATGTACAAGATAAACTGTTCACCCTAAACATTTTGTGACTACTGAAACATTACTGGTTTGTCATTCAGTGTATAAAAAGTTTTATAAAATGCAGTAAAAGTTTTTTACTGGAGCTTCCTTTAAAAAGCACAAAATACAGCAGTTAGTTTTGAACTTAAAGAGACATCATAAACAAGAGAGGTACCCACAGATATGATTTTCTCAGAATAAGGACAGTGATATATCAACCCATTTTCATAATCCACTACAATTTTTGTGCTGTTGACCACAAAGAAACAAATTAAAAGAAGCATAACGTTAATGCTTCCTCTGGGCACTGGCCTCAATACTGTACATTGAATAGGTTACCTAGGGTTTTATCCTCTTGATTAGGTAAAGCCTTTTTAAATGTGATGCTTGTACAGTCATGAGCACAAGCTGAGTCACAAGAGAAAGTCTGGTCTAGAGGAGGAGGGGGAGGCTGTGGTGGTTCTAGAGGCAGGAGGAGGAGGAGGCTGTGGTGGTTCTAGAGGCAGGAGGAGGAGGAGGCTGTGGTGGTTCTAGAGGCAGGAGGAGGAGGAGGAGGCTGTGGTGGTTCTAGAGGCAGGAGGAGGAGGAGGAGGCTGTGGTGGTTCTAGAGGCAGGAGGAGGAGGCTGTGGTGGTTCTAGAGGGAGGAGGAGGCTGTGGTGGTTCTAGAGGGAGGAGGAGGAGGCTGTGGTGGTTCTAGAGGGAGGAGGAGGAGGCTGTGGTGGTTCTAGAGGGAGGAGGAGGAGGCTGTGGTGGTTCTAGAGGCAGGAGGAGGAGGAGGCTGTGGTGGTTCTAGAGGCAGGAGGAGGAGGAGGAGGCTGTGGTGGTTCTAGAGGCAGGAGGAGGAGGAGGAGGCTGTGGTGGTTCTAGAGGCAGGAGGAGGAGGCTGTGGTGGTTCTAGAGGCAGGAGGAGGAGGCTGTGGTGGTTCTAGAGGGAGGAGGAGGAGGAGGCTGTGGTGGTTCTAGAGGCAGGAGGAGGAGGAGGCTGTGGTGGTTCTAGAGGCAGGAGGAGGAGGAGGCTGTGGTGGTTCTAGAGGCAGGAGGAGGAGGAGGCTGTGGTGGTTCTAGAGGCAGGAGGAGGAGGAGGCTGTGGTGGTTCTAGAGGCAGGAGGAGGAGGAGGCTGTGGTGGTTCTAGAGGCAGGAGGAGGAGGAGGCTGTGGTGGTTCTAGAGGCAGGAGGAGGAGGAGGCTGTGGTGGTTCTAGAGGCAGGAGGAGGAGGAGGCTGTGGTGGTTCTAGAGGCAGGAGGAGGAGGAGGCTGTGGTGGTTCTAGAGGCAGGAGGAGGAGGAGGCTGTGGTGGTTCTAGAGGCAGGAGGAGGAGGAGGCTGTGGTGGTTCTAGAGGCAGGAGGAGGACGAGGCTGTGGTGGTTCTAGAGGCAGGAGGAGGAGGAGGCTGTTGTGGTTCTAGAGGCAGGAGGAGGAGGAGGCTGTGGTGGTTCTAGAGGCAGGAGGAGGCTGTGGTGGTTCTAGAGGCAGGAGGAGGCTGTGGTGGTTCTAGAGGCAGGAGGAGGCTGTGGTGGTTCTAGAGGCAGGAGGAGGCTGTGGTGGTTCTAGAGGCAGGAGGAGGCTGTGGTGGTTCTAGAGGCAGGAGGAGGCTGTGGTGGTTCTAGAGGCAGGAGGAGGCTGTGGTGGTTCTAGAGGCAGGAGGAGGCTGTGGTGGTTCTAGAGGCAGGAGGAGGCTGTGGTGGTTCTAGAGGCAGGAGGAGGCTGTGGTGGTTCTAGAGGCAGGAGGAGGCTGTGGTGGTTCTAGAGGCAGGAGGAGGCTGTGGTGGTTCTAGAGGCAGGAGGAGGAGGAGGCTGTGGTGGTTCTAGAGGCAGGAGGAGGAGGAGGCTGTGGTGGTTCTAGAGGCAGGAGGAGGAGGAGGCTGTGGTGGTTCTAGAGGCAGGAGGAGGAGGAGGCTGTGGTGGTTCTAGAGGCAGGAGGAGGAGGAGGCTGTGGTGGTTCTAGAGGCAGGAGGAGGAGGAGGCTGTGGTGGTTCTAGAGGCAGGAGGAGGAGGAGGCTGTGGTGGTTCTAGAGGCAGGAGGGGGAGGCTGTGGTGGTTCTAGAGGAGGGGGAGGCTGTGGTGGTTCTAGAGGCAGGAGGAGGAGGAGGCTGTGGTGGTTCTAGAGGCAGGAGGAGGAGAGGATGGTAAGTCTAGAGGCAGTAGTAGGTGGCTATGGTGGGTGGTGAGCCAGACGGGGAGTCCAGGGAGGGCCCCGTACCTGGTAGCACGGACACGGTCGTCGAGCTGGTCGAGGCAAGGCTTGAGGAGGCCGACGATGCCGTCAACGAGAGCGTCCCTGGTGGGGGAGACAAGGTCCTCCGTCCTGTCGTCGACGGAGGTGCACGAGCTCTCAGTGTCAGCCATCACTGTTTACCTCCTCAACCTCACTCCGATTACCTCACTTCTCTCACAGAAATTCAATTTCAAATGTTTATCCAGGTAAAGTACATACATACAAGAGGTTATTCAAAAATTGATAGATTTATAGATAGAGCTAGTACATACAATGCCTAAAGCCACTATTACGCAAAGCGTTTCGGGCACTTCTCTCACATAATTCCTATTTATTATATAATGCCCAGTTATACTGATCAATATTGCCTTATTGTTATTAACTTTATTCTTTTATAAAGTATTAATGAACTTCATATTGTGTCAAATAAATTTAAAAAAAAATGGAAAAGTATTTATGAATAAAGTGTGTGAATTTGAATTGGGATTAAATATTTATATACAGATCCACGCGACAAATATATTGCAATTAAAAGTGAAAGATAAATGATTCGTGTCACTTGTTAAATTGTTTAAGTGACCCCTTAGGATCACTCCGTATCTCAAACTTCGAACATTATTAACATCTATGCCTACTTCATAAATGTGCATATGTCATGCGTATATTAAAAAATAATATCCAAAATCAATATTAATTCATGAACTAAGTCATTGCGAAGGTTATAATAAAAAGTGCGCATGTCAGTACTTCTGGAGTCGAGTTTTGTGAAGCCGTCCGGCAGACATTTTGGGTCTCCCGTCTGACTCCATCTCTAAGGAATATTTAAACACATTCAGCAGGTGCAGTCTTCACTACTAACTACCTCTTGGATAATGCCAGCTTGTGCTGCATTCGGATGTAACCATCGACCAGAGAAAGATAGGAATAAAACATTTCACAAGTAAGATATGAGGGATAATCCTTGCTTTATTCTAACAATAACATTTGTAATGTTCTTCAGACATGCCAAACAGGTTACAAGTGACAGGATGAACAACCCAGCGGGTTTTCTTCCTATTGGGGAGTGTTGTACATGCTGCTATGGCGGTATGTCCACTCGCAGGATGAGTGGCGCTGCCCAATAAACTCGCCCCTCGGGGCAAAATCTAAAAAAATTTAAACAGGTTCCATTGTGCTTCTCTCTAAGAAGTTTAGTTTGATTTTTCTTATATTGTGATGATAAGTTTATAACAGGTGAGGAGTTGTCCGTTCCCTCGAGGTTCGGTCAGTTCGTCTACAGCAACTTTATTCACTTACACTTTGTACGTAAATTTTAATAACATTTTCATTTATATTTTTGTTTTATATACAACTTGATCACCCATTTGGGTCAGGTCAGGTTACACACCATCCGAAAATCCGTTTACAAACAGATTACCAAAGTGTTTAAAAACCTTCCCCAACCCAACCTGACCTGACCCAAGCCAGCCCTAACCTAACCAGCCCTAACCTAAGTTATATAGATGTGGTTTTTGACAACTGGGCAACAAGAGCTTGTCAAAATGCTGGTGTATGACTTGTCTATACTCCATGGAGAGTTGATGCCAGACTATTTTGTGGCCCTAAGCAACACCAGCTACTATCAAGAGAAAAAAATTGCCAACTTCGATTTTCAAAAACACAAGTTTTGTAAAAAAAAAAAAAAAAAAAAAAAAAACTTGACAAGTGAGTATTGTGCCCCTCAGAGGTGTTCACTCTAGGCAGCTGCTGGCTTGCTAGTTAGTGTAATGGTGGCACCGGCCCGAACTACCTGCGCACCGCCTCGAGAACGAAGCTTTTTGCTTCACTTCTGAATCACGTCCTACTAATATAACATACAAAACTATCACAATGCATTAAAATCTTAGCTAGGTCTAATCTCACTCAATTTACAAAACTATACATACTATGTAAACTATATACTGTATATTATAATATATACAGTATATGTACAATACAGTGCATTATGGTACAGTATAGTACAGTGCAGTACAGTATGGTACAGTGTAGTGCAGTATGGTACAGTGCAATGCAGTACAGTGTAGTGCAGTACAGTATGGTACAGTACAGTGCAGTACAGATAGATGGTGGCCATGAGGTAAAAGGTATTTTATGTGACTTCAACTTTTATCTTGCTCGTGCGAGGCCCCATTTCGATTATGAAGTCCGGTTTTGGTCGCCATAATTACAGAATGGACTTCGATTTACTTGAATGTGAACAGAGATGATGATAAAGTTAATCCCAGGAATAAGAAACCTCTCATATATAAGTAGTCAAAAAACTTAATTTACATTCTTTAGAATGGTAAAGAATAAGAGATGTAGCAGTAATATTAATATGGTGCTTTAGAAATGCAGGTGATTTAAATATAATGCAAAAGTCAGACATTTTATTTTTTACAGTTAATAAGGACAAACCGAAATGTTGTCACTTTCTTTTTGTATGTGTGGGTTGGGTAATTTGTTTTCCACCTCATTTTTGTCTCAAAGTCTTAGCAGTTATGACTTGCTTGTTAATTAAAGTATTAATTGGTATTAGTAATGCATGTTGTTACCTATCAGTCTTACCTCCACATTGTTGAAACACTAGAATTTTTCTTTTTTATTTATATATACAAGAGTTCTTACATTTTTGTACTCGATTCATTCCTTGCTCTGAATAATCATTTCTGATTTTATTTTTCATTCTTATATAGATTTCCTTGGAAGAATGAGAAGCTGTTCAAAATATGGCTAGATAATATTAACCGAGAGTTCACTCCATCAAAATCCACAGTTATTTGTTCTGATCATTTTGAGGAATCAAAATTTGATCGTACTGGCCAAACTACACGACTGCGGGAGAATGCAGCTCCTACAATTTTTGCAACATTGACAAGCAATTTATCAAAGGTATTGTTGCATACAGTACTTTGTTTTTAAGTGTATTATGAGTTTATCATATTTCTATCCATTGTAGTTTCTTTAAATTGTTAAAGCCACTAAGTAAATGTTAATTTCAGAATACTTACTGTACTTATATTCAGTATATGATGTACAGTATTTGTAATGCATATTTGCTGTACTGTCTACATTCAATAATCTGAATTATAGGGGTCCACCTCTATTCAAGTTAGGTAAATTTTTACCTGGAAAATCCAAATATCAACAAATTTGAATTTATTCAGATTATCCAGACATCTCAGTACTGTACTCTGAATTTTTTATTCAAGTTGAGCAGTCGAAAACCGAGCTTAAGTTTTTTAGGATTCCCCAAAGGTTTGGTTTACCGGAATTTGAATTGCCGAGCTCTTACAGTACAGTATTGGGGAACTATATTTGTATTGTCAGCATGTTAACTGTGATATAGTGGATAACACACTTGCTTCTCATGTGAGACAACTTTGATTTGAATCCTTAGCAAGGGGAAAGAATTGGAGCACATGGAGATCAGAGATCAACCCACTACTGAAGTGAACCTCCTGGAAGTAAGTCACAAAACACTCAAAGCTGCTACCAGGTGGCAAGCCGAGCTCTGTAGTGCTCTAGTGAGGCATCTCTTAACTCTTAAGCCAAAGCATCCCAAAACACCATCATAGTATTCACCTATTTGTAATCACCTATTTGCACTAGAGGGGGGTTGAGCTCTGCTCTTTCAGCCCGCCTCTCAACCGTCAATCAATCAACTGTTACAAACTACTAATCCCCCCCCCCCTCAGGAAGCAGCTGTCTTAACTCCCAGGTACCTATTTACTGCTAGGTAACAGGAGCATCAGGGTGAAAGAAATTTTGCCCATTTGTTTCCGGGTCCCTATATCTACACATCCAAAGCACTGTCCACTCAGCCACTAGGCATAAAGTGTAACAGGGAGCTACAGAAAGGACATTTCATTATACAACAGAGCTTCACATGTTTCAAATACTGAAACAAAAAATAAACAGAGGGCTTGTGTTGGACACCTTTGGTGACCGTGACGTAGTTGAACGTCACACAGTTTGTTCAGGTCCACTGTAAATGAATGTTAGATAAACAACCAAGAAGTTCTTCAAGCATATTGTCGAAATCGCCGTTGATAGCGTGCCGAGCGGTGTTGGACACCTTTGGTGTGCGTTGCTATGCCTACCCAGCACTTTCGGAACCTGGCATTCCTTATGTACAGGCCCAGTTAGCGTGCCCTCACGCCGAGAGCAGACCAGCATGAGCCTCCACCCTGTACACAAACTCAAGACAGCTAGTTACCTGGCCCAGTAGTGATACATTATTATACAGTATTTTAATAATAAAAGAAGAAAAGGCCATATGTGTTTCGTGCTGCATTCCTTCCTATTGACAAACAAGCTACAGCCAACCCAACCATTTAATACTTGGCTATTTTGAATGACCAGATTCAAGAATGAGTGACACTGCCAATCAAATCAAATAAGATTAAGCCCAAGTGCAGTGAAAAGCTCTGTACCCCAGGGCACAGTTCTTGCACCACTGCTATTTCTCATTCTTATCTCGGATATAGACAAAAATGCTAGTCACAACTTCGTGTCGTCTTTTGCAGATGATACCAAAATCAACATGAAAATTTCCTCTGTAGAAGACACTAAAAAATTGCAGGCAAATATTAATAAGGTCTTCAATTGAGCAACTGAAAATAACATGATGTTTATTGGTGACTAGTTTCAGGTACAGTACTTAGGTATGGTGGAAACGAGGAAGTTAAACAAAACACAGGGTACAGGATACAATCAGAAATAATCATAGAAGGAAAGCATCATGCAAAAGATCTGGGAATTATGATGTCTGATGACCTGATATTTAGTGAACATAACTGAGCAAATATAGTGCCGTCCAGGAAAATGATTGGATGGATTATGAGAATGTTCAAATCCAGAGACCCCACAGCAATGCTAATACTATTTAAATCACTGGTGCTGTCCCATCTTGAGTTGCTCTGTATTCACTTCCCCTTTCAGAGCTTGAGAGATCTCTGAATTAGAGGGAATACAGAGAATATATATACAGCATACATAGAAATGATAAAACATCTAAATTACTGTATTGGGACTGTCTCAAAGCTCTCAAAATGTACTCTTTGGAAAGAAGATGAGAGAGGTATTATATATAATACATATTGTACGTGGAAGATACTTGAAGGCCAGGTCCCAAATTTGCACAGTAGAATAACATACTAGAATGAAAGATACAGAAGGAAATGCAGAATAGAACCAGTAAAGAGTAGAGGTGCCATAGGCACTATCAGGCTTGTCCATTGCTCCAGGTATGCCAATATCCATGCAGTGAAGACGAGGGTGAGACACCTCATGAACATAGCAGCCTGCCAGAATGCTCCGAAGACAGTGTATTCCTGGAAGTCCTGAGCTCTGGGGTGTACACATTGAGCTGGTGGCTCCATTTCACCACACAGCAAATGATCCGAGTTAACCTTGGTTTGGTGCAAGGCAGTAAGGTACTGTACAAGGACTGAAAAAGAGTGGTCCATCATGAGCGGCACAAGTCGCCCTTAAATATATATGAATTTCTGCAGTTGGGCACAATGAGTGTGATGCACACAAGGCTAAACCAACAGTGCCTCGATAACAAGAAGACCGCCAAGAAACGATGCCTCATTCTTATTAAGGAGGAGGCTACCTTAGCTTTAAGAGACAATCCACTAGCACAAATTTCCAAGAATCAAGCTTCTGGTGAATACCATGAAGCTCACCAACCAGGCTACTCACAGCATATATAAAAAAGAAAGGAGGCACCTTGAACATGTAGTCCTGAGGTGGGGATGCACAGAACATAGCTGAACACATGAACTGCAAAACTTTAGTTTGAGACCATGATTGTTTCAACATTGCGTGAGCAGGTAAATGGTGGAAGAAAGCTGAGAAAGCTTTGTGAAAGGTGCTGAGGATGGTTAAAGCTGAAATCCCAGCATGAGGTACTTGGTCATATCCAAGCGACAAGAGGTCATCGGTATTTAGCATTGATCGATGCCACACAGAGCCATGCCAGAAATTGAATCATCGCAGCCTCGAATAATTATGAGATGTGACGAAGGGCCAGAGATTTGTGGAATGCACACCAAGCAATTTCATACTGTTGCTTGTAATGTCTAAATTTAAAAACCAGGATGTCTGCCACCTGACTCTCATAAAGGTAACAGTACAAAGACTTCAGAAGCTCTATCACTGTTCTAATTAATGATCTATGCTATTGACACCAGGTAATTTGACCTTGAAACAAAGCCAGAACAGATTAATGTACTGAGAGAGTCTCCAGAAAACCAGCATACATGCTCATTTAATGTGCAGCAATAATCGTGCTTGGACGAGAAGCCAAATGGAAAGTTGATGACGTGTCTGTAAAGTTGATATGTGGTTTAAACAGAAGGCACCCATCAGGGTAAGCGCCAGACTCGAGAATGAAGGAGGTGCCTAACAAGAGCCTCTCTTCATGGCCTGTCACCAAGTGGTGGTGGGGATGTTATTTACTTTCAGTTTTATTTGGTATTACCTAATTATGAAACATCCTGTGGAAATTTTGAGTGTTATGAGAATCTCTTCTGGATGGTTCACTTTGCTAGTAGGTTGATCTCTGATTCCCACATGCTCCTCTAAGTGTTGGCAAATAGGTGTGAAATGGCACTTGCTTCCAGTGAGTACAGATGATCATTAAATCCTGGCACATCATATGTGTGCTTTAAATGTCAGTGCTGTACGCTAGAAGAGTTATTAAGGGGACCTACCCAGAAAAATATATTTATATATTCTGCTAAAAGCTTCAAGTACAGTACTATCAATCACAAACTTTATATTTTGTTTTGTTATATATATATATATATATATTATATACATACAGTATTTACATTTATTTTATATATTTCAGGTCTCCAAACCTCGTAGGGCTCGCAGAAAAAGGCTGTGTCTTGACAAATTGCCAACAAATGAGTCCACCCCACAAACAGAGCTCTCTTTACGTTGCAAGGATCTAAAAAATAGGTTATCTCCTCACAAGCTACCAGCAAGCTCAACAATTACACAATCAGAACACACTTTACCTCATGCTAAAAGTTGTGTTGTTCAAAAAAAGAAAACTCCTCAAATGTTACCGGAAAGCACATCAACCCCAGAACCAGAGCATTCTTTACCCTGTGCGAAACGTCGCAAGATTCCACAAAAGAGACAGTCTGCTCATACATTGCCAGCAAACGTGAAAAGCCAACAAACAGAGGAGCCCTCATTACCCAACACTAAACATTACAAAGTACACAAAAAGGATTCATCTCCTCACACATTGCCAGCAAGCATGACAACTCAACAATTGGGGCCTTTAATACCCTGCAGCAAATGTTGCAAAGCTCGTAAAAGGGGGCTGTCTCCCCAAACATTGCCAGTAAGCATGACAGCTCCAAAAACAAAGCCTTCATTACCCAGCACAACTATAAGTGCAACAAGCATGACAGTTCCAAAAGAAGAGCCTTCATTACCCTGCACAACACCATATATATCAAGTACAAGTATGACAGTTCCACAAGCAGAGCCTTCATTATCCTGCACAACACCAAACACATCAAAGGTAGCAAATATGACAGCTACAAAAATAGAGGCTTCATTAACCTGCACAACACCACCTATATTGAGTGTAGCAAGCCCAATAAGTCCACAAGAAGAGCCCTCCTTACCTTACACAGCACCATGTACATCAAGTAGGGAAAGCACTCCCAGTACTCTTATGGGCTCTCATTCATATGGCACAGTGGATCATTTTGTGGAGCCAGAATTGGAGCATAATGGTCCCAATACTCGTCTTTGGGCAAATGTGGCTCCTAACATTTCCCCAACTTCTCCAAGCCATTCAGCCAAGGTATTATTCACAAATTTAATTTGGTTTAGAATATTATGGGCTTGTTTTTATACCTTTATCAGTTCTTTCAGTTAAACCCATTTGAGTAAATATTGTTTTTTAATCAAATTAAAAGCTCTCTTCATGAATGGTTTTACATTTATAATTGGGTAAGTTTACATAAAATTACAGTACGTTAATTGTGTAAGGGAGAGTCTCTGCTAAACTAGCTGTTTTATTCTATCCTGTAGACCTGCTAATATCATTACTGCATTCACATCACTCATTCTTAAGTTGCATTTCCTAACAATTAAATTTATATTTCTGGAAAAGTTGGAGTGCCCAGTGATAAGTGAGTGCCTGACAAAAAATAAAGTTGATCGAGTTTGCTGGATTGGTGATTCCTTTCAGACAAAATTATACAACTTGTTTGTGAATGCTTTCTTCAAGTGTAGGTGTGAACATTAGGCCAGGTAGGAGATTGCAATGAGTGCAAGGCTGGACTCTCAAGATATGTCTTGAACATTTCCTCAATACACAATTCAGCTTACCAAGTTCAGTATGCTGTTGGTCCTATTGTTCACATCCATACAAGCTTAGATATCGTTAATTTATGTTCGAGGAGATAGCAAGATGACCAAGTTCACTCATGGTGACATTTATTCTGACCTGCAGGCTTCTAATAGTATCAGGAAAATTGACTAGAGGGCCCTCTGAGGATGGAATATGCCCCAGTTGCTTTTCAGAGTACTTTACTGGTACTTTGCTTAATTCTAGATATTTTACCTAGAATTTCTCTACCTAGTAATTCTAGGATCTTGATAAAAATAAGTTCTATGAGTTAAAAGCAAATATAGTACATTTGACAGGATTAAATATTAGGTTGTATTCCCCACTATATCTTTCACACATTTCTATCACATTTTCTAGCATGTTTGGTAGTGTGAGTAGAACTAGATCAGCAGCATAACAGAAGAATTGGTTTTAGTACTGCCAATTCAACAGCCAGCCCTACTGGCTCTTAACTCTTTCAGTGATGGATCAAGATAGCAAACAGTATAGGACTAAAAATCGCACCTTGTTCGCACCTCATTTTTTACTGAAAGTTTTTCAGAGAAGGCATTACTGATAAGAAATATATAAATATCTGGCAATGGGCTCAGGCTCGGATAAATAAGAGGCATAGGGAAGACCTCAGCGACCAGCGGGAGCGGACGTGTCCGCTCTGCCACTCCACGAGACATCGAGACCTCTGCACCCCCACATGGTACTTGTGCATCCACTCGACCATAATTGAGATCCACTCGACCAGGATTAAGGTTCGGTTCTGAGGTGAAACCTCATTCACCCAACCCAAGATACTGTTGAAAATAGTTAACATCACCAACGTAGAGCCCGTGGACATCCATGCTGAAGACGTTGGTGCAGAACTCCTCTGCACAAGTGAGGAAGCTCTAGAACAACTGCTCCAGAACACCAGGTCGCCTTACGAGACTCTTGACTTGATCATCTTACCAACCCGTTGCTACCTGACTGATAGAACAGTTTTTGTCAGCCGCACCAGCGTATTCATCGCCACACAGTATCTGTTGTATAATGCATTTTGAAGACGTTACATGTATTTCACCCAAAAAAGTTAAAAAAAAAATTCTTGAAAGTTGCAGCAGCCTTCGATTTCACAATATTATCTTTCTCTTTCTTAAGCCTCTTCATGGCTTGATGATATTGAGCCCTTGTTTAGCATCTAATCTGGGAGTAGCCCACCATTTCTGAGACACCCTGCATCTTTCCATAGGTTATACCAAAAGAGAGACATATTTTGCAATTCCTTAATGTGATCATTCCAACCAGGCATGCTTCTTTGTCAATTTGTTGGATACTAGGATCTATCTTGAGGTTATCTTGAGATGATTTCGGGGCTTTAGTGTCCCCGCGGCCCAGTCCTCGACCAGGCCTCCACCCCCAGGAAGCAGCCCGTGACAGCTGACTAACACCCAGGTACCTATTTACTGCTAGGTAACAGGGGCATTCAGGGTGAAAGAAACTTTGCCCATTTGTTTCTGCCTCGTGCGGGAATCGAACCCGCGCCACAGAATTACGAGTCCTGCGCGCTATCCACCAGGCTACGAGGCCCCTACAATAGGATAGGAGAAGATAGAAAACAATTTAGAAGGATACTATCTTTCCCCACCCTAACTAGCACTGACATGACAAACAAAAAAAATTGAAACTACGTATTTTGATGCAAATTCAACTCATCCTTCCATTTTGGTAGACCTTTCTCATGGTTCACTATAATATATTTGTACTTTCAACCACAATGTTACTATAAGTACTTTCATTTTAGGAGGATGGGCTGTGCAAATTACACTGAAGATTAATGCTGGCAATTGCATCAATTGGAATTGAAGTATTATCTAGTTTTCCATTAAGAAGGCACTTAAACTTATCCAGGTCAGCAACAGTGATGCTCATATATCAACCTGTACTCTTAAATTATTTATCATATTTTAACATCAAAATCCCCAACAGACAAAATGTGGGGTACTATAAATCATTGCAGTTCTCAGACAACCATGTTTTCTATGCATGGGTCAGTAGGTTAGGTTTGTGCATTTTAGTACACTGTTTTTTGTCTGTTCTAGCAACTCAAGAGGACGGGCTGCATGTATTACACTTTCTGATGTCCAATATTAAAATGTATTTATTTATTGGACATCATTATGAATTTATTTATTCATCGTGTACAGTACTATTAATCACAATTTTTTTATTATTTTGATATGCATTCATTTTCTTTTGTGTATTTTAGGACATAAGATGGTGCAAGAAGCGCTACAAGGCTCCCAAAGAGAGGTCAGTTGACGATTTGCCAGAGAGTACGACTCCCCAAGAAGAGCCATCTGTTCCCAGTGCCAAATCATGTACATTAAGCACTGAATCTTCCATCAGTACTATTATGGATACTCACTCCTATGCCATAATGGACAGTCCACGGAGGTTAAAACAAAAACTAAATGCCACCTTAGATGAACTCCAGAAAGTAAAAAAGAAGCTAAAATCATCAGAACAGAGTAAACGACGTTTGTCTATGAGGGTCAATTCTTTGAAGGAAGTAATTGCATCGTTGCGGAGTAAAAAATCAACATCCAAAAAAGGATCACGTAAGTTACGTGATACTATTATTCTTCACTTCCCACCACTGGGCTTAGAACCCAAACCTCATAATAATAATAATAATAATAATAATAATAATAATAATAATAATAATAATAATAATAATAATAATTACAATTATAATTATAATAAAACTGTAAATGAAGGTCCTTTAGATGGGTTGCCCGAGTCTTCAGTGATCCTAATAGAGTGCTAGAAAATTGTATTTAAATTAGTTTTGTTTCATTATTCAAATAATACCAAAGTGAACAGAAAGGAGTTGTTGCATACATTGTAAAGTTTGTTGGAAGCATAATAACCAAATATTGTGTTGCTGCTCATCATTTGGCAGCGAAGGACAGAAAACTGCCTCAGTGTACTGGCATTATCCCAGCTCAATGGAGACTTTACAAAACACAATGTGGCTATTTGATTTTTTAATCCATTTCCTGGATTAAAATATTTGACTTGTCACCCAAGTGTAGCCAACAGAAAAGCAGCCTGTAGAAAATGTTTGTAACTAACACAAAGCTAGTCCTATTTTTCTACTGGTGTCTTCATTAATATATGACTCATGACTTTGTTTATATGACTTTGTTTCTATACAACTTTACATATTTGTAGATATCGTTTGTCTCATAATTTATCACATTAAATCATTTGCAGCTTTAAAAGTTACCAATTTGTGTCCCCTACAACCTTGAGCAATTCACGTGACAGCAGTAAGTGTGTAACGGGGGCCAGGGGTAATGGTTCTCCTTCGTCCACAAGCCCGCCCTTAGTTAACTATACGTACTTAAAAGCTCAAGAGCTCTACTATAGCCGCCAGTCCACTCCTCGTGATCTTAGACATTTGATCGCCTCAGATACTACACACACATGAGAAACTGTACTGGGTCAGTACAGTATGTACTGGGTACAGTATGTACTGGGTCAGTACAGTATGTATAGTAGTTTGACTAATTTACAATCATAATTAAATTCATAATTACACTTGGTGAGGTTTATACAGCTTAAAGTACTGTATTGACTTAACATTCTTGGAAGTGTAAGCCAAGCAAACATAAATGGTTGACAAGTGGGTTTAACCTAACTGTTGTCTGTATTACGTACTATCCACATGACAAAAGAAAGAAAAAGTTATTTAAGATAAAGATATCATTAGTCATCTAATTATAAGGTCTTAACACATTTTTATCAGAATTTATTTAGTTTTACACTGAATATTAAATAGCTTTTATCCTTATTGAGTTTATGGTGTTTGTATGTGGAAGTCATGTTTGAAAGATTAAAGGTGGCGATTGTTATTGAATGAGCATCATGTGATATTAATGATAATTATTTTTTTTTTTTTTGGGGTGGGGGGGTGGGAGTAGCTTGTTAGGCTTATCAAGATTCCCTCAAGTCAGTGACTAATCTTTCCCAAGCTGCAACCCCCAGCAGTTGCCTAATTCCCAGGTACGTCTTTATTGTTAGATGAATAGACAACAGGCATAAGTAAATGTGTCTAAATGATAATGTGACTGGATTGACCACTGCACCACAGAACAGGGAGAGGGAGAATGGAGACATGTAGGAGACTAGAACATTTCAGGAGCAATGGGGAGACCTTTGACAAGCTGCCAGCTTCCTGTACCCATCGAAGCTATTTGAGAAATACAGTAGTTACCTCGGGTAAATAAGGAGCATGTAAGTACAGGAAACAATAAGAGAAAAAGACCTGGGGGTAAGATCATGAGAAAATACTAAGTTAGTACAACTATATAGCAAAGACCTGGGAGTGGGTATAATCCCAACACACAACAGCAGCATTTCAAAATCTAAACAAGGAAGCTTTTAAACCCCAATAACTTGCCTATGTGTGACCATGACTGGAGTATGCAGCACCGTCATGGAATCTGCACCTCGTAAAGTACACATTTTTTACCAAAGGTTTGTAACTAGTACCAGAATTGAGAGGGCTCCACTTTGAGGAGAGAAGAAACAGCGGGGACATGTAACATTGCAAGCACCGTACTGGGGGAAATATACGCTGTGTAGTCAATCCCCTACCATCATCCAAACCAACTAACCAACAGTCCAACTAGTCACTGAAATAATTTCAGCCAATTTCCACACAAATTAAACTGTTTCAAGTAGCTTCCAATTACTGTGCAACATTTTGATGGAAAAACCATGGTAACCATTCCAATGAACCAACCAGTAAATGAACAAATCCACAAGGGCCGTGATGAGGATTCGAACCTACGTCCGAGAGCATCCCAGACGCTGCAGGATCCAAGTAAATTCAGTAGAATTTCTGGTTGCAATTCTTTTTACCATGCCGTAGCTCAGTCGATTAAAGCAGCGTCTGGGATGCTCTCGGATGTAGGTTCGAATCCTCGTCACGGCCCTTGTGGATTTGTTCATTTGATACATCATGCTATTGGGATTTCTGTGTGTAACCAACCAGTACCTTTCATTTCTAAGTAGCAGAAGCAATTGTAACCAACAGTTCAACATTTAAACAAATCACTTCAACTGACCACCATTCAAACCATCCTCCACTCAAACCAACAACATCCACTCCAATCCCTTCTCCAACCAACCCCTCCCAACTCTAAACAACAACCTACACTCCAATCCTCTCTCCAACCAACTCCCACTCCAACCAATCACAATTCCAACCAGTTGCAATTCTAAGCTGCAGCGGCCAATATCAAGGCACTTGCAATCACTTCCTTGTTAAAGAGTTAACTCATGCTATGACTCAGCCATTCAGGGCCCAGCAGTGCCACCTCTGTGGCTCTTCCTCCACTGCTACATGACCCCCTCCCTCCACAGTATGATGCTACTCCCTCCACTGCATGGTGGTACTCCTTCCATAGCATGATGCTACACCCTCCACTACTTGATGAACCTCCCTCCACTGCATGGGGTACTCCCTCCACTGCGTGGTGGTACTCCTTTCCCTGCATGGTGGTACTGTAGCACCTACCATTGTAACCCCCTAACTGATACCATTGTAACCCCTAATTGATACCATTGTAACCCCCTAACTGATACCATTGTAACTCCCTACCTGATACCACTGTAACACTGTAGGATTACACACTGGTGCTCTTCAATATACAGTATTTACTTAAACAGTCTCAACATTATTTACAGTTGAGTGTAACCTGGTACTACTAATCTCAGTTAGAAGTACCAATGCGTAATCGTACTTAATGCTCAATGTTTAATCTCAATTCACAGAAGAAAACACCGGCTGCCATCACCCCCATTACATTCGTTACTACATTATTAGTGATAATTACTAATTAGGGGATCGCCAGTGGTTCCTGGGGGGAAACCACTAAAGTAAAGTTGCTATGCTTGGTAAATTGTAAGGGGGCTTACAATTTTATTGAGTTTAATTACTCATGAAAGATTTCTTCTTTTAATGTAATCACTTGCTGACAGTATGTTTAACAATTTAATACCGGAGAATTTAGGAGGTTTGCACGAGGTTCAACGGCCTTGATGATCTACACAGATGACAATGGAGGGAAAACTAGTGACACATAAAGATGGAAATTTAACAATATTTTATTTAATCAACATTATGAAATTCACTACAAATTCCTAAGTCACATACACTGGCAAATTCCTAAGTCCCTATCCTACACTGGTAAAATGGCAAGTAATTTAGATATGGGAAATACATCAGAGATTTAATTGATTGTTGCCCCATAGTTTATTGTGCACCCCATACTCATACTGTGAGCGGTAGCGCAAAAAGCATTACATAAGACACAAAAGGGCTTTATCAGACCTCATCTTAGATTATTACATAAACAATGTCATATATCCTTCATGTCTTATAGTTACAATGTCAGCTAGTTACAGAGAATGTTCTATTTCAAGAGCTATATATTTGCAGTAAGTCGTTATACATTAATGGTAGGTCTTATCGCTAATACATAATTAATTGAGTAATGGAGATATTATAGTCACAGGGGGAGCTGCTGTTTATTATTAGTCTTCACAATACACTACATGTTTCTTAATCTCATATGTCGTTTATCTACTAGAAGCGAAATATGGATTCAGTGCAAGGATTTCAGGTATTTTATCCTTGGTAATAAGATAGGTTGCCATATCATACAACTTTAGCTTAGATTTATCTCTAAATGGCTCAATTTTACTACAATCCAAGATATAGTGTTCGAGTGTGTCCCCCTGTCTTTATCCACACACTTTACACTTTACTTCATCTAGATCTCTATACAAGCCAACCTGCCAGAGATATTTGTAGCCAAGTCTTATTCGAGCTGTGACAACGTCTGTTAGTCTGCTGACTTTGTTACTTGTCCCATACACATGTTTTACATCACACATTTCAGATTCAGATTCAGATTCAGATGTTTATTCAGGTAAGGTATATACATACAAGTGATGTTACATTAATGGATTGATTGATTGATTGATTGATTAATGGATTAATGGATTTCATCAGAGATGTCTCGCATTACCTTTGACCACCGCTTTTCAGCTGGAGACCCTGTCTCCCACCTGGCTCTAATGTCCCCAAGCCCTTATCCCATTGTTCTTTCCGGGATACTCTGAATCCTATCGATTGATTGATAAAGATTAAGCCATCCAAGAGGTGGCACGGGCATGAATAGCCCGTAAGTGAATCCTATCATCCTACACTGGGTATATGTACCCAAACTACCCCAGCTAGTATCAGGTGGGATGGGGGGGGGGGGTTTGTTGCCACCTACCACTTGAAGGCTTCACCTACGTGCAGCTTGAAAACATCACACCACATTTTACAAGGAATTTTTAAATTAAACGCTGTTTAATAAGTGGTATTTTTTACTGATCTCGTAACTAATGGAGGGCGACATACCACTCTAAAGTTTTTAAGGGAGAAGATCAAATACCTTTTACTTGAGGTAAAACAGCATCCCAGGGGAATTTCCCTACTACAAATTGTTTGACATGCCTCTTAACTAATGGGCGACGAGGTCAACTTCTGACCCTTACATATATCAAGGAGGGGAGGGAGAAGCTAGAAAGGGCGAGAAAGAGAATGAGAGAAATTTCCTTGGAGTTGGGCATGCCTGGTCAATGGAATGTTTCGATTAAGATATTTCCAACCAAAATAAATTCGTCAATATTTCAAGGATTCTAAAGGTTGTCAAAGGTAACTTGGGTCTGACCTCTTCCAAAAGGTAGATTTCCTTGGGTGTTGCAGTACTCCCTCCACTGCATGGTGGTACTACCTCTACTGCACGACGTTACACCCTCCAAAGCCAAGCCTGGATTAAACCATTGACAATTTATTCCTTTGTGAGTTAGCTGTGTGAAGGTTGGAGCCCCGAGGACGAGGCCTGGCTATACAGTTCATAATGGACAGTCAACCCCTTTCATCCAGTCAGGTTTTGGTGGTTAAATGTAGTAGAAGGTTAGGATGCAGCAGCATACGGGTGGGGGGGGGTGCAGTGGCGTGGTGGGTGAGGGCATAGCAGTGGGCATGGTGGGTGTAGTGGTGGGTAAGGAGCTGTAGCAGTGGACAAGGGGGTGTAGTGGTGGGCAAGGAGATGCAGTGGTGGGCAATAGGGTGTAGCAGTGAGCAAGGTGGTGTAGCAGTGAGCAAGGAGGTGTAGTGGTGGGCAAAGGGGTGCAGTGGTGGGCAAGGAGGGTGCAG